CGCCTTCCCGGATTTCCTCCTAACTGATAACAAGGAGCCCTTGCTAAGATATTGCCACATGCCTGGTTTCAATTACCTAAGTGAGAGGGCACCAGTTGCGGCTACCAGGAAATGGCACCACCTTTCACATTATGCCTGTGCCAAAATGGAGATGCCCCAGGCTCACCAGCTGGAGGCCAGCTATGCTGGAGGGTTTTTTCATTTGGGGGGTTTTTTGGGGGGTAGGGGGGAAGGGGGATGGTCAGGGACAATAAAACTAAGTTTCTGCATAGGTTGAAGTTTTATTTCATTTCATTTCATGGAACATCATTGGCTGTGTGCGCTAAATCAACAGGCTAGTTCAACAGAAGCAGGAAGGGCTCTGTATGGCTCCTCCAACCTCCTTTTTTCTCAACATTATACAGTTGTTAGTGCATGTGAGGTGGAGGATAGGCAGCTCTGAAGTCTCTGCAACTGCAGAACAAGTACATCCCAGCCAGCAGCAACTGCAGCCAGCAGCAATCGCAACTGTCATCTGCTCCATTTCAATCCAGCCATGGAGAGACCAGCTTTTGGGGTTACACAGGAGTCCCATCTTCCCTGCACTTTTCTCCAAGATCCCCAGCCAGGCAGCTAATGAGCCACAGTTGTATTTTTAGGAATACATACCCAAGTAGTGGACTGAGAACCCACAAACTCATGTCAGATCTGATCCAGCCAGACAGCGGTAGTTTCTCATCACCTAATTCACTTATTACCTGTTTGAAATATAGTCTAAGCGGCAAAAGATGACACAAAAGAAACAATCCTCTAATCAACTTTGCTTTGCTCGTGTCAGTAAAAAGCTCTCACCGCAATCATTAGTGCCTAGGAACAATGGGTGAGTAGGTTTTAACTAGGTTGCCATCTCCACATACTGAGAGATCAGGGCAGGGAAAGAAAATATTTGTTACTAAATTAGTTCTGGGAGTTATCACCAAACTCAGTGAAGGGCAGAGAAAGCGGTTTCAAAACTTCCCCTTAAATCATACAATTAAACTCTAAACAAAGCGCTGGGAGACGTGTGCAGGCAGGAGGCTCATAGCAACATGAGGGAGGTGGATGACCAGACGTGCTTCAAACCCAGCTCAGTAACCTGAAAACAAATGGTTAGTCAATCTTCAGGTGGCAGCATAAGAATTAATGTGACCTTGAAAGAGCACGTCATCTAGTAGCCATGAGAACGACACAGCAAGTGGGAGGAAACAGCTCCTAGGAGAAGGGAGAGATGAGGAAAGGCACAATCTCAGTTAAAAGCAGCATGTCAGCATTTCTTTTGAGGCACTTAAAGGCTTGAAAGAGGAGTTGACTGCAGGAGGCAACTCTGACTGTTCAAGCTTGCCGACTGAAAACCCATCCTCTCCAGTCCCTCTGAAAAGCAGAAAGCAATTTAAGGCAGGGGGAAGCCCTGGTATGCTTAACCCCCACAAACACCACACCCACTTATTCTAATCTCAACCCCAGACTGTACCTATTCCACCAGCTGGATCCCATACAAGTATAGCTATTCCTAGCCAAAACAGTGAAGGATCAAGTTCTGCCAGAATACAAGGGGCTTTGAGCCTTAAGGAACTGTTGCATGGCCAGAGCATTTAGCTCTGCTTATTTGAGGATCACATCCCTCCAAGTGGAACTGAAGGTGAAGTGAAACAGGTGATCAAACTACATAGTTCACAGGCTGCACAAGGCTCCCTTTACAATGATGCCCATTTCCACAGGTGATTGGATTAGGTAAGCTCCTTAGGTATTACAAATCATACCCTTCCCACCGTTCAATCACAGCTAGGGCACAGGACTGAAAACAAGGAAGTGTAAGTGTGATTCCAGCTCTCTGTAGCCTTTGCCAAGATATTTCAGAGTTTCCTCTTCCTCATACACAAGACAGATACTTGGCAACCTAGAAGGGTGAGAGAGACGGACAATTAGTGTTTACCAAGACCTTTGTCGGGAAGCTACACTATAGCAGTGACATCTCTAACACATACTGGGCCCTTTCCAAAAAACTAGGGACATACAATGCGAGGAGGCTGACCACCACAGCAGTGGGTACACAAAAGTCGTCTGATAGGTAGTCTGGACATTTTACGTCAGTGGATAAAGATCATTCTGCATTCAACTCCTAAGTGAGGAAGACATGGCTGAGAAGCCTTCCCTTTAACATGAACTGGCTGCTCATGAGAGCTTTGTCAAAGGAAATGCCAGGAGTTTCTTCAGTCTCCTAGCCAATAGGCAAAAATGGAGATAGGGAGTTCAGTCAGTTGCCTTGTGCTCATGCCAGATCCAGCTGGTGGTGGAATTCAGTGCAGATATCTGTCTGTTAAGGATGGGATCAACAAACTTCACACTACAGCCATAAACCATCCGGACTAGTAAGCTTCCACCTGACACACAAGACTGAACTGGATTAATGGGAGTTCTCTTGCCTTTTAATATTCTTATTCTTTAGGATTGATCAGCCTGTGACAGCACATCAGGATAATCCTCAGTTCCACCACATTCACTTCAGCTTTGCCCATGTGCTCATGAAAGAGGAATGGCAGCTTAAGAAACAAAGGGAGATACCTGGGGCAACGGTGAAAAAGCTGGTGTACTGGACCACTGCTAATCATTAAAGATGAGATGGTAGCACTGAAAAGACATTACGTTCTCCAGAGTAGAGGCCATCTTAATTAGGTCGTATAGTACCTGGCACAATGGGATCTTTACTTCAGTGCAGCAGCTCCAGGTGTTTCTGTATAAGCCAACACTTAACTTCGCACTGGAGGTCTCCATTCTTTTAACAAGTGAAAACTCTTGTGCTGAATGCATCAAAGGTACATAAAATACTCCCCTCAAAGAGCACATAGTACCTTTAAACGAAAGACACCACTGCAATCTCCTTGGTCTTGAATATGTATTTTTTACTGAAAAATCATCCATAAATTAACAAATACAAAAATGTACAAACACATAAGTAAAGAAATGTAATGACACAAAGGATTGCTTTGCTGAAAAGTGTGCGTTTTAAAACACTAGATTTCAGTGCAAAAATGTACCCCTGGCACCTCTTAAAAACTTAAGAAGCTCACAAAGCCATGATGAAGAAAGGATATAGCTAGAGTTAATGCCACCTCTGATCGTGAATGATTAAAAAAAACAAAAAAAACCGCACGCGGCTCTTGCTCAGTTGGTAACTTCTGTGAAGAAGAGGAGCTTTAAAAATAAATTTTAAATAAATATTTTAAGCAAATAAAAACCCACATGGCTTATTTAAAAAAAAAAAAAAAGAGAAATCAGCATTGATCATGTCCTGCCCCCCAGCAGGGTTGGTACACAATGTTGATGTACAAGGGATAAATGAGTGGCCTTGGTGAATTTCAGCTGCCAGAATATGTACAGTTCTCTAGTATGAGACTTTTTACACCATAACAGCACATGCGCTCAACAGATTTTTTTTTAAACAATTACATTTACTATACAGTATTGGACTTAGCTGATAAGTTTAACAGTGCACATTTTAAGATATTCCACATTTTAAAGAGGGAAAAAAAAAACAACTCAATGTGATTGAGAAAAATTAGAGTGATGTTGATTAGGTGAAATGGACCCTTTTACGCCTACCTTAAATGAGTGCATTTCTGAGTAGAGGTAATGTCTTTTTAAAACAGAAGGTGCAACAGATGGTAAATACACATTGAAAGCTGAGGATTCAAACTCAAGTACAGCTTTTAACATCTACTCACACACACATGCACGATTCTGGTGGTGGTGAACTTAGACCATCTGAAATACATTCCTTGTTTGAAGCACCATTAAATAAAGATTTCTAGCAACATCAAGATTGAAAAGGTATGACAGGGGAAGTAAAGGGTCTGCACTTGAAAAGGGTCCACAATAATCAGAACAGGAGTAAGAAGCAAAAGTCTTTATTGCTATATATGCGCCATAAAAGAAAATCCTTACCTCTGTCTGTAAGTAACCATGTAGGATTCCCTCAGGAAGCAATTTTAAAGCACATGTATTCAAAGACTTTAAACCTAAATTACAAATTTATCAGCACTCTCAAGGGCAGACTCTGTCCTCTCATGCAGGCTGATTGATAAGATCTACACAACAAGAACTCCATGTTTTCTAAACTAAGCTATTCTCAAGAGACAGAAGAGAGGCCTGGTCAGTCACACCCACAGCAGATGTGTATGGGGATCATATGTCCATGCAACCAAGAAAACCAATGTAAACCATTAGAGTTTAGAAAAACAGAAGGCAAACAATGTGATAAAAGTAAGTTAAAGAACTTCTGAGGCATAAGCACTCACAGTCACTATATATATATATAAAATATACATGTTACATTAAAGCAACCCCCCAAAAAGCTTTTACTAGCCAGAAGGCCCAGTAAAAGTGCGTTTGTACGTGCTGTATATTGATGGATTGGTTTTAAGCCAAAAGAAAAAAAAATTAAATAGGCACAACCAAAAAAGATCATGTCTAGGGAAGAACAAAAAAAACCTATAAAACTGGATGGGTATATGGACCAAACTCCTCAGTTCTTGATACTTATGTTTTCCTGAACTAAATTTAATGTCCTTCATTTTTCACATTGTGATTTTAAGTCTGTGGCTAAATCTGTCCTGCCATTTGTACTCGCGCAATGCTTTCTCTGGTTAAAGACCATAACCAAGTGTTATGCCTATGGTTATAATACACATTAGTTCAGTGTACCGTTTCATTTATACAATAAATATAGCAAAATACTATTGCATAAAACAAAAAAGTATTATATTAGAGGAACCACTGCAGAATGCTGTTAAGTTGGGGGCAGATTTAATAAACTGCAGCCAACTGCCCAAACCTACAGACCATGATAGAGGAGAGAAGATATGAGCTTGGGGACGTGTTCAGGGAGACCAGATAGGCCTTCAGCTGAAACTGGCTCTTGGGGTGGAAAGGAACATGGTGGGGATGGGGGGTGTGAAAGACTTAAGTCTACAATCCAAGCTTGCACTTGCCAGCAGGTATAGGATCCAGGGGTTTATAGGCAAAGAAAGCCATCAGGAATAGAATAGAAAGATGTAATAATTTTTCACAGGATCTGCTGCAAAATGATGCAAGTTGGATGCTTTTCCTTTTAACGTAGGTTTCAATACCCTTCCCTCCCCATGGTTTGTCATCAGATGTGGCTTCAGATTTCTAAACTCCTGCATCTTACCAGTTAAGGTCCCTGGTCCTGTAAACACATATGCACGAACATAAAAAAATGGCTTTACTCACATGAGTAGTCCCATTCACTTAATTGTATTCATGCAAGTCAGTCCTTTAAGTACACGTGCAAGTGTTTACAGGATCGGGGCCTATGTGAGTGACTTGAAGACATAAACCTTTAGCTTGGGTTTTGAATTGTAAAAGAAAATAAAAAAGGCAATTTACATAGCTTATTTACACTTACGCTTCTTTAAGAAGCGATTCCATTGTATATACTTCAAGCAGGTCATTTAAAAAAACCACACAAATGTAGAAGAATGGTATAAGTTTTGTTTGTTCTCCCATTAGGGCCATTGCCTACTGGATTGCTTCTGGCATCCAAAGTCAAGCAGCCGAAGAGTCATTCAGTCAAACTGGTTCCGTGAGAGAAAAGCATGTCAGAACAGTTACAGTATTCGAGATTGCTGGAGGAGACGGAATGCAGAGATGAGAGCAGCAGGTCACACCATTGTTCTTAACACCAGAAAGCGAATCAAGTCATTAGGCTTGCTGCACAAACAACTGGATTGGGTCAGTACAGCTAAGAAGATTTGTGCGTGCGCTTTCAATCTCATTCTTCAAATCTTATTCTATACTGTGATCCTTCATTAGACAATGCATTTGTTGTCCTTGATGATGCTCAAAAAGAATGTCTAATGTGTTGCTTTCTTGGCAAAGGGCAAAGCAAATGTTTTATCTCCTCTTAATATTCATTCACCAGAGCCAGCTCCGGTGTCAGGTTAACAGTTATGTTTTTATACAAGGCGTCATATGTAATGTTTGGAAAATAGTTCAAGTTATTGAGACCATCCAGGGCTTGCCTCTCTTTTGATTTCCTCAGCAGCGCATACCTGTTTAAAGAGAAAAAAAATGGATGTTTTCACTGCCAAAAGTTATTTGCAACTGTGGAAGCCTAGGCTAAGAGCCACTTGGAAATCTAGGGCCAACAGGACAAGCAAATCCATGAAAGGTGTTCCAAGCATGAATGCTCCATGGCTAGGCTGGCATGGTCTTCTCTGCAAACTTCAGATGTGTAAATATTCCAAATGCTTCTCCAAAACAAAAAGTTACAGCCCATAGGTGGGAGGATATGTAATACAGAACACAATCTCCTCAACGTAATTTTATGTTGGGCACACAAGAAACTTCCTCAGCCTTTTATTTTTTTTATTTTTTTTTTTTTTTAAAGTCTCGGTATGATCCAATAACCCCCTTCACAATGCATGCAAAGCAAACTTACATGTGACAGCTGAGTGACATGAATCTATCTTGGGGTAGCATGGCACTCCCCACCTGGGAGAGCTCACCATCTCAGTGTCACCCATAGCAAATGATGGGAGGATGACAAAGGTTATCAATTTTTTAGAAAACCAAACCCCACAAAGAAGCAGAAACAGCTAATACTGGACTGGAGGTTGGGGGATTAAGAGTTAGAACCGAGTTTTGGAAGGAGGAGAACGCAAGTAAGAGAGGACTCGATGCAAGTTTTGGGGCAGGAAAGAACAACCCAAAAGATACAAGGACAAGACATAGGAGTGAGAAAAAAGGAAGGGTGGAAAAAACATTCAGGCAGGGAAGGGACTTTGATCTTCTTTGTTTGTATTATTGTATCCAAGTACCTTTCAATCTTTAATGCATCTAGAAGGCAATAAGTGAAATGAGTAAGATTTTGAACTTAATGTTCAGAAAGATGGAAGGAATGAGAAGTGAACAGGAAACATGGTTTTAGCTGCAGTACCTTGGATATATTGAGTCAGGAGGAAGGAGTGAGGCTGGAATGACGTTACAATAGTTCAAGCAGAATAAACTACTAATATTAAATACAGCTTTAGCAGCAAGGAAGGAAAGAATTGGAGAGAGGGAAAAGCAGCAATGTTGATAACCTCAAGGATTGAGCAGGGAGAAAGGAGCTGCAGGTTTGCCAAAAAGAAGAATGGACTGAGAAGAGTTCTACTTAACGTGAGTTGGTATGAGAAATGCTGGGATATCCCAGGAAGAGCTGAAGTAAATACAGGCTCTCACTTCCTGGAGCAGGAAGACCTGAGGTTCATCTGATCAAGACTTGAAATTGCAGGGACAATTAAGAACAGTCAACCAGGTAGGAGGAAAACCAAAGGAAGTCAATCTGGGACACCCACTGTAGAGAGGTCCTTTGGAAAACACTAGGTCAGAGACAGCAGATTTGAAAGGCATATGGAGGACATAGTAAGCCACCTAGCCTTGTAAAGAGTCCAGTTTGCCACCCTGCTGCCTTGCTACAGTACAGCTGTATGCCCCACACAGCTATGCTGACAGCAAGCAGCAAACTTGCTTGCACTTGTGCTGCTATCCGCAGTGTTAAGCAAAGCTAAATTACTGCTTTGCTCAACTACATATGAACTTGACCTCTACACTGATGACTAACTGCAGCAAATCCCCCGACTAAACATGACTAGTCTAAGTCTAAAAGGACTAAGTTCAAAGGCTTTTTAAGTAATCAGGGCATCTCCCTACAGATACCAGGCAGCAATGGGCTACTATTAGTAAGATGTTTTACAACAAGCCAAATCAAAAACCAGTCTTCTTCTGAACCCTCTAACACACATCAGATAGCAATACACTTCAAGCACATCACCCAATGTGACACTAGTTTTGGACTGGAGCAGTGTCCGCCTCAAACTCCAGATCTTAGGAGACAAGGCAAACCTAAAGCTCACGTTTCTGCTGCCTGGAGCCTTTGATACTTCAGGGAAACTGAGCACCTGTGACATTTCCCTCAGAACTAGACTTCCTTGCTTTAGCCACAGAAAACTGAAGTGGAAAAATGCAGCAAAGGAGAGAGACAGCAGCTGTTTGAAAGCAAAATGGAAGCTAAATACAAGGAGGAGGAGGATTACTGAATGGGAGCTCTTAAGAAAGGAAACTTGAGGTTGGAGAGCAGCCCAGAATGCCATGCATCGCAAGTTTGTTTCTCATCTGAATTTGCACTTAGCTCATGCAGTGTTTCCCGGGGAAGATTTTGCAGCATTCCCATTTAGCAGCTTCCCTGGCGCCAACAGGAGGCAGCAATACAATTTAGATTCAGGAAGACTATTCCAAGCTGCTAAGCTATGCAGCTTTTCACAGTTGCCTCCAAGGATTTTCTGCATGTGAGCTTCTGTAAGGCTCTGCTTGGCTGGAGATACATATTGTAAACTAACCTATTAAAGGCATCCAGTTTTTAGGATCCCTATTAATGGGCATCACTTTCAGTGGTCCCGGGAGCTTTCAGGTGCCAAAGCCACCAACTTCTTTACAGAAAGTAATAAAGGAAATGCAAGGGGTCAAGTACTAGTAGATACCCTGACACTAAGAACTGAAGAGGCACTGGGAAGTGTCTAGCTCTGGAACGTACTGGAGCGCCTGTACCATCTGTGCAGGTACCCGGTATTTCAATCTACAGTACAGGATTGCCACTGGTATCCTGAAGTGGATAAGGATCTTAACACCTAATAACCATCCAGAGCAAAGAGGTGTCAGTGAACCCATCCCAAGCTTGGAACAGTCTACTATACTGGGCCCACAGGATGCTTAGGGGAGAGACAGATCTGAATCTGGTCACACTGCTCTTTATGACTACTCTTCTCCAAACAAGGAGTGAGATCCTGTTGACACCAAACAGACTTAGGAGCCTAGAGAGACTGCTGGCCTACCACAGTGCTCCAAGGGGCAGTATGGTTACAGCCTTTAGGAGCTGACAAAGCCCTCATGGTATTCTCTAGGGGAGTCGGATGAGACTTCCTGGATTGGAAGGTAGCAAATGTGGTCCCCATCTTCAAGAAGGGGAAGAGGGAGGACCCGGGCAACTATAGGCTCGTCAGTCTTACCTCAATCCTAGGGAAACTCTTTGAGAAGATCATCAAGGAGCACATTTGTGATGGGCTGGCATCAGAAATGATGCTCAGGGGCAATCAGCATGGATTTATAAGGGGGAGATCATGTCAGACCAACCTGATTGCCTTTTACGATCAGGTCACAAAGGCCATGGATGCAGGTGTCGCGGTGGATGTAGTCTTTCTGGACTTCAGCAAGGCCTTTGACACCGTCTCTCACCCCATCCTAGTTAAAAAA